ACAAGAACAGTTATTTTTTTTTTCAGACCCCGTCAGCTCCTCCTCCTGAAAGTTTTTGTTTTTACATTTTTTTTTTTATGAGTAAGCCACCTCTTGCATCTGGGTATTTTCTGCTTGAGAAATTTTTTTTTACGCCCCCCCCCCCCCCCCCCCCCCACTTTTTTAGGATTCTGAGATTTTTTTTTGGCACCACAGGAGGAAAGGGGAGGGCACGAGTAGCTATTATAATGTTTTTTTTTTATCTGCATGGTTTTGCATTTGGTAGGATTTAAACGCATTTTGTTATTGAAAGAAAATGATTCTATATCGTTGACTATAAAAGTCAGGTACGAGGGGCAATTCCTAGGGATGATTTCTAATATAGTGAGGTCATCGACATACTTGGCTCGCGGTCCCCAGTTGGAGACTAAATCGTTTACCATGGCAGCGAACAACAAGGGGCCTAATTTAGTGCCCTGGGGTATCCCGCCCTTTAGAAACAGGGGAGAGGAACAAAACCCAGCTATACTAACGCATTGAGACCTGTTGAGCAGGAACGATGCGATCCACCAAACTAAGCAGGGATGGATGTTAAAAGTGGTGAGTTTATCTATTAATAACTTATGATATCAATAAGGTCAAATCCTTTAGATATAATCCTTTACTTACTTGAAATGTGCAGTTTTTTTTTTTCGTTATTTGGCGCAACTGATGAATAGTCTGTGAATGATAACATATTTTTTTTTCTTTTACCATATACGGCTTATTTCACGAATGTTCTTGAAACAGTAAATATTGATATAAGCGGTGGGGGCGGGGGAATCAAAGGGGGCTACTAGGTTTAAAATTCTAAAGATGTATTTAATAAGACAATCTTCATGAATCCATATATCAAGTGCACTAGCCAGTATCTTTTAAGAATGTGAGGTGGAGCCATCATTGAAATGATTTTGATACAAGGGGGCTGGTCTGAGAAATCGTTTGCATACCCCCCGTCCTCCCATATATTTTTTTTTCGGTCCCAAATCACCATTGTAGTTTGATTGATTGTGGCTTAAATCCATACCGTAAGATTTTCTTTTTCTTTTTAACTAAAATGACACCCGGGAAGAATGTGAAGTTGAAAACACGAACCAAACTTTCAGTCTTGCCGTCTGTCACAAGCAACGTTCAAAATCAAATAAACAGACGGTGGCACCAGTAGTTCCTTGTTGATGTCGACTACATCTATATATAGTATTGTTAAAGAGGAAAATTTCAATATATTTAATATGTATTTTCAATTAGAAATATATCACGTTGTCCTATAGATAATTTAATTCCGCGAATAGAATCATAGGGACAACTATGATCTGGGTGATTTGAGAAAATGCGACTAGCCAATCAGCGCAAAGCTGACAAGCTTATGTTGTAAACATAACCCCCCGACGGGAGGAATTTTTTTTTTTAAACTCGACCCAGTGGAGTAGGCTGCCTGCCATTTTATTCTATCCTTTTTTTTTAAGCTAAAACGCAAAGACAAATTGAAAATCTTTATAAAATAGCTTTTTTTTTTTGTCAATCAAATATTTATCGTTATAGAAATAGAATTTTATCTTAAATTTTTTTTTGCAAAGAATTTTTTCTTTAATACCAAGGGACTCCCCTCCCTGCTATTTTTTTTTAGTCTGTGTTCTACGCGGGTTCTCCATTGCATGTCAAGCAATGGCTTTTTTTTTGAAGACTTCAGAAGGTCGTTGAAGCGACGTTCAAGTCCAAAGTATTTTTTTTTTGAACTATTGCAAATCCTTTTTCTTAGCTCTTGTTTCCTCAAAGCTTTTTTTTTTCTACAACATCACTGAAAGAGCTAGAGCAGCTTAGCTCCATGTATTTTTTTTTTTGAGTTAAAGCGTTTGTTATGTTTCATACAAACAACTGTCGTAGTTTTTTTTTTTTCGCATTTTTGGCAATAACCCGCAAGCATGCTCGACGACACAACGTTTTTTTTTTATGTAACAGGTCGGTTACACATTTACTAGCTTTGACCTTACAACTTTTTTTTTAACGGTGACTGCGGTTTTTCGTGTAATGTCTTGATAGCGACTGTTTTTTTTTTTACGACTCAAAACAAAATTCCACCGTGGAAAAAGTTCGACTAAATTTTTTTTTTTAAAACACGTGTGTATTTAAGGTGGAAAATGGTTCATATGAGCATTTTTTTTTTTAAGGTTAAATTCTATAATCATTTTGTTTAGTTAAATAAATTTAACTTTTTTTTTACTGTTTATCTGAGTGAAAGGAGAGCTGCGGGTTTTCCCTTTCCTTTTTTTTTTTTTTCAAATATGACCGCTTAACAAAAATACACTGGCTCACTGGCTTTTTTTTTTGACGAATTCATATGCAGGCCTGGTCGCAAATCAATCACCCAGATATTTTTTTTTTCAGCATTATAAAACAAAACAAAAAATTATATAATATGATTTGGGTTTTTTTTTTTAGAGCGTTATTGATAATCGTTTAACTTCGTGATCATTATAATTTCAGACGAGAGTCATTCTATATATACTCGTAATTGCCTTTCATTTAGAAATTAGTTTTTTTTTGCAAGGTCAGTATATATTTAAGACCAATAAGGATAGGTTATTTTATTTTTTTTTTGCTACGCAGGGGACGTATAGTAAAATGTTATTGTTCATCAATGTTTTTTTTTTGCCTTCGGTACATCTTCGTAGCCAATCACATTGTGAATTATATATTTTTTTTTTAATCACATTACGTTGTGTATTCCGAACGCTATAGCCTGTCCACAATTTTTTTTTCTCCATTTTCATCAGTGTTTTATCCGCCATTTTGATGAATATATTTTTTTTTTTCAGAACATGAAGGTTTACGACCAAACTCTGGCACTCATCATCATTTTTTTTTTTCGTGTTCGGACCGAGGAGATCTCAAATACAGAGATCAACCACAGGTTTTTTTTTCAGACCATTTGAACTTTACAGTGAATATATGGGATTTTAAATTTTTTTTTTTTTTTGATTTTAGCTTAATCTCATGTGTTGTTGATGTTATTTAACATTTTTTTTTTTGGTTTTGAAGACATTGAGAGCTATTTTTAAAAAAATATCATCATCTTTTTTTTTAGATGACATCTGCAATGGATATGTCGAGTTTTAATATAGATGTGCAAAAATATTGTGTTACGATCATAACAAAAAGTTGATAAAGCGTCACGTTGTAACCAACGCGTCACGTTGTAAAGTTATCACAAAGGCGGGTACAGCAAAAATCACATGTTTTTTTTTCAAGGTTTGAAGGATCAAATCATTTTTTATTTTGTATGGGTACGTTTTTTTTTTGCCTGCATACATGGTCTAGTTTCTAATATTAAAAAGTCGTTTACATTTTTTTTTAGTGTTATTGGAGATTAACTTCCTTTGGTCAACATTTCATTGACTTTTTTTTTTTTTTCCTGTTATCTTTAAAAGTTTACTTTTGGTGATATTAGCTTTGAAGAACTGTCTATCATCCCAAACTAATATTGTGTCGCCTCTATGTTTACCTGAGCACTTATAAAATCAGAACAGCTCTCGTTTATACTCAAATTCGAATAATATCTAATATTTTATAGCAAGGTATATAGGAAAATCTATCTAGTATCGAATCATCAATTTTTTTTTTTTAAGCAAGAAATATCTTTTAAAAGTGTTTTTCTATAGTGCGTCATCTTTTTTTTTTGCGTTGGTAATTAATTCGTGATGACGCCCATTTTAGTACCATCATTTTTTTTTAGTTACTGCTTCTAATGACAAAGCTAAGTAAATAGGAATTAAAATGTTTTTGTAGCATAGAAAATACATTGTAAAATCTTTAGAGTCAGTAGTTGAATATTTTTTTTTCAAGAATCAACANTATATTTAAGAAATATAAAACGGCGCGCGTGTCTCTGTCCTCTGATATAAACACGGTGGGAGTTCGAAAAACACGAGAGAAGCAAGCTTAGGAACACGAGCGTAGCGAGTGTTTCTCTTGCTTCTCGAGTGTTTTTCAACTCCCACCGTGTTCATATCAGAGGACAGAGCACAAGCGGCCGTTTTATATTTCTTTTATAAAATTTTTCGAGCGAAAAGAAAATTTTGCCGGTAAGCCGTGTCTCTGTCCTCTGATATAAACACGGTCGTCAGCCAATCAGAGCGCGCGTTATATATCAAAAATTTTATAATAGACAAATAATTACAAATATATTAATGAATTACATAGTTTTGACAATAAAACTAATTCTCTTATTAAAAGTAGTTCTCTTATTTTTCCTTTATATATATTCAAATCATTTACAAATTAAAGAAAATACCACTGAAATGATACCCTCTAGATATTTTTTCTAATATAATATATATTCATATTATTTACAAATTAAAGAAAATACCACTGAAATGATACCCTCTAGATATTTTTTCTAATATAATATATATTCATATTATTTACAAAGTAAAGAAGGTAACACTAGGTGGCGCGCCCTTGTGATTTTGTGCCGGCTATTCATGGGCTCGATTCCAGTTGAAGCCCGGATTTGTTTGGGGCGATCCATACATTTATTAATAATCGCCTATATTATACTGCGACGATCATATTAATTAGTTTATTTATTTATTTTTTTATTAGTTTAATTAGTTTATTCTCGATACCAGTAGCACATTACTAGGAGCCTTCCTCTTCTTCATAAGCTCTTGGAACGGGATTTACCCCTCTTGGACCCTCAAAGCAACCTCCGAGTTAAAAACTATCCTGTCCCAGACAAAAAGACTACCCCACATCCAGCAAGAGCCCCCCCCCCCCCCCCCCCCCCCCCCCCCCCCCGTTCACAATGCCCATGTAGAGAAAGGCCCTAGTAATGAACTCCTTTCGATGGTCATGAGATATCAAAAATGGTGTTGCATTTCTGGGTAGAAGTTACACACGAGGTTGGGTTACGATAAAAGAAGGCGAGTCGGAGTTTCAAATTACGCTTGAATTTTGTTAGTATTATGGTTCATTTTACTCACCTGTCTTCATAGCTATTGTGATGGTAACTTTCAATCCCAGCCAAAATACCATGGTGTGGACACGTAAAGGAAAAGGGCTGGTCCCAGTCATTGATCCAGTGATGTGACCAATTGCAAATCGTCATTCTCTTCGTGTTCCAGTTATATGAACAACCGAATTTGAAGACGCGGTCCTTGGCACAGGATCTGTAAGTCGATTGAACCTGCCTTAAGGCTTGTCCTAGTTGTTGAGTATAAAAAGTTAAAAACATTATTCAATTTAATATATTATGTAGTATGTATCAAATCAAGTGATCTCCATGAACAAAAACCCTTTTAGCGATCTCTATTACACTGTTCTAGTCTCAAACCCATGTAATAAATAGAGGATATTACATTGGCGCGTGGAGATACGTAAAACTGGGGAATGCGAATTTCTACTGCATGTAAAAATGTATAATATACAGTTTTCCTTTCATACCTGCAGAACATTTGAATTTCAAATGTCCGTCGAAATCATTTTTCCATCCGTGTCGTCTTTTCATTTTTAGGTTACACCGGCGTCTCCCCAACCACCAAGCTTCAGATGGACAAAACATGTCCACTATAATGACCATCAGCAATAACCCTACCACGAACTTGTTCATTTTTTGCCTGTAGTGCACGAAAAAACAGAATATCAATACTGTCAATTACCACAAGCAACATGACAAAATGTGTGTACATAAGTACCCAAGACCATATATACGTGCTCGCGAACCAAGCAAAATTCCACGACGAATTTTCAAATGTCTCAGGACCAAGAACAGGACGTTCAAGAACTTGATCTAATTTTTCAATTTCTTATATTTTTCTCTGGAGCCCATGCACCCACAAGCATATGAAATGAATTCTTTAATCTTTGCAAAATGGAAAGCATTATCGGTATCACGAAATTGAGCTAAATTAAAGATTACACTGTATAAACAAACAATAAATAGAGAATTTAAGGACCTTCAACTATTCACTTACTACGCTACGTGCTCTAAATTGAACTGCGCATGGGCACGGTAAGTTGCACGTATTGGTTCTCGTTCATAAATTATGTTCATATAACATGTAGAGTTCTGATCTTTTTTTTTCGTGCACCCCAGAGGTTGATCAATAAAATTGAGAAAAGAAAAATGAATTGATTCAATGTAAGGGAGTACTCCCTGCGCTCGTATGCCAACCCAGAAGGTATTTGTAGTATTAAATTGTTCTTTAATATTTTTTATATTATTTTTAATTATCATTTTAGTAAAATCCCATTCTAAGGTAGCCGAGTGCTGCATAGCTCTTCCATTTCGATCGATGGTCTGATATTTGTACTCATTAACTCGCAAAAAAACACAAATTCAGCGCAGTACCTGTGCTTTCTTAATTTACCTTGATCAAAGTCATGCAATAAACCCTAAAAAAATAGATATAATCTTTTACTTACGTGAAATGTGCAGCTGGTCCGGTTTGTTATTTGGCGCAACTGATGAATAGTCTGTGAATGATAACATATTAGTAATTCTTTTACTACTAAGCTTATTTCACGAATATTCTTGAAACAGTAAATATTGATATAACGGACAAGTCATATATAAGGGGGTGGTGGGTGGGGAGAAATCAAGGCGGTCTAGGTTTAAAATTCCCAAAAAATGGGAGTTGGTAAGGAAAAATGAAGTGATCCAGTTAATCTTTTTATAACACTAAATGATGTATTTAATAAAACAATCTATATAAATCCATTGGAATTCATGTAATAGCATTGGATGTACTATTTTGAATGTCATCTGACATAATGTCTTTTTTTGTAATACAAATTGTATTTTTATATTGCATCAATAATGGGAGGTTGGGCCATAATACTCCAGGGGGTGGGTGAGAGAACTTTTTGCATACTTCCCTCCCTCCCTAAGTGACCTGTCCATAATCACCATTGAAGTTTGATTTATTGTAGCTTCCCATGAAAGGGAGAGAAATCTAAAATATCACTGAATTCCTTGCAGTTTAAGAATTTCTATTTCTATAATGACATTCGGGAAGAAGTTGAAAACATGAACCAACCTTTTCGCTATCAAAGTATTGCTTATTTTTACTGATTACAAAAATAACCTGCGCTTAAACGCGAACTCAAAATCAAATAAACAGAAACCAGTAGTTCCTTGTTGATGTCAACTACATCGCATGGGACGGAAGAGATATATTAAGCTAGTATCTATTAAAATACTGGAATCGGTCAATGAAACCNTATAAAGATTTCCAATTTCTCTTTGCGTTTTAGCTTTTATTTATCGGATAGAATAAAATGACAGGCAGCCTACTCCACTGGGTGGAGTTTTGCTGTGCAAATTCCTCCCGTCGGGGGGTTATGTTTACAACATAAGCTTGTCAGCTTTGCGCTGATTGGCTAGTCGCATTTTCTCAAATCACCCAGCTCTAGTGATTTTAAAATACTGAAATCGGTATTAGCAATAAAACCATCGTGGCCAGATCACAATAATTTCATAATGTATTTTTTTCCCGACCCCGAAGTGACTATGCATGCAAAATATCCAGAGAAAATGCTGCTTTGAAATAATTAGTCGGACTAGCCGAAGGCGGTCCGACTTTAAATTTACCTTTTAGTCAATCTATCTATCTATCTATGTGTCATGTCGCGTTTGGACCACCGGAAGTTAAGAATTTAATAATTAACTATTGGGTTGGCTGTGTTATTACATGACCGGAAGCTCAAGTTGTACGAATATCGTTAGTAAATGTTATATGCTACTTGGCTTTTATATGACAAAAAAACTATTCGTTTACAAATGTGGTATCTTTGATCTCATCGGAATGCCTCTGTCTAGGCATTAGAAGTATGCGCATGTGCAGATCGCATAGAGTTTCGAGTTGTATGCTTACAAAACTGACTCAATATCCTTTCTAGTGTTAGACAGTCTTGTTGGGGCAAAGATTTCAAATTAGAACAAGAAGAAACTTTGTTTATCAATAACAGAAAGGCGAATTTAATGATTTTATAGGCATCTTTTTCCTTGTAAAGTTTTTATTTTCTTTGCCTGAGAGGTCAACGTTTTAGATATCATATATCACTTAGCGAGACATTTGTCTGAGTACTTGATTTTATCAGTCAAAGCAAGCCACGTTCTTATCGCCGCTTTAATTACATGACCTTTTAGGTCAAGTTTATTTAAAGTCTCAATACATTTTGCACTAGACGCTCTTATTAGACCGTGAGTTCGGCTGTTTTGGAAAAAAAAGTTAAGAAATATTTTTATCCATGTAATATCCTGTCTTTCTCAATTTTCACACAAGCAGCTAGTCCGACTTCACGCTCCCAGAGCGTCTAGTTTCTCTGAAAAAAGACAAAGTAATGCGCAACAATTTCAATTTGCTTTTCGTCTAAGCGGCCTGGGACGTTCATAAAAATAGAAAATATAAAATTGACTCCTGTAAAAGCCGTTTGTCTCCAAAAAAAAAAGCTCGAAGAAATGAACACAATGCAGTGTTCGAGCATCGTTGGCCGTCGCTTTTGAGACGGAGACACTTGCTACGAAGGAATCACCGACAAATATAAAATTGACTCGTGTAAAAGCCGTTTGTCTCCAAAGAAAAAGCTCGAAGAAACGAACACCATGTCTGACATGTAAATGTTAAAATGCAATATTCGAGGCTCAACTAACAGTTAATCTGCGAGAAAATCTAGAAAATACAAACGCTTGCCTTGGACAAATCGACAATTTACATGTAAGAAGATGCCAAGAGCAAAAGACAACAATAGTTACAACTTTAGTTATAAAACTCATTAATATTCATAAGGCAAAACACAATAGAAATCATAGCCCATGAAGAGAGTTGTATATTACATACAGATTTCTTGTTCATTTGCATAAACTTTAAATCTGATTTTCTCGGTCAGATTGATTTTTTTTTCAAAAGTTTCTTTAAAACCTGAGCTAGTTTACCTCAACGTTTCATAAGTAATATACAATATTCGCGGGCGATCTGTATGAGGTTTAAAACAGCTCGCTTTCAGCTCGCTGTTTTAAATCCTCATACAGATCGCCCGCTCATATTGTATATATTACTTATAAATTCAAATTGAGCACTCTGCTGAACAGAGCAATAGTATTTCACATTATATTAAGTACATAAACTTGTGCATTGGTTTGATGTTTAGGTCTGGTTAATATTATGTCATCTTTGGCCAAGATTATTTTAAAATTCCACAATAAGTTATAAGCTTAATATCTCCTAGAAAATTCACTATCAAAAAACCCAAGACCATCCAAAGTAAAAATAAATTTTGCTAATATTATGTAAGCATATAGCACAGTAACACAAAGATCGCATCAGTTGTGTGGTTGTWATTTTTATAATCTTGAACTTCTTTTTTTAATAATTGGCATCAGTTTGAATACATCAAAAATTCAGCATATTTTGATGATTGTTTTTGAGCTTTTTACCATCACAAATGCAATCTTTTCTCTGACATGCAATGTGACATGCTAGTACATTTTGTTCATGTAAAAGACTTCTATATCATTGATCATAATTTCAACATCCAAATGTATCTGTTGGCTGTTTTTTAGGTATGAAGGTCAAGATCTTATATTTTATTTCTCTGTTGAGCGAGATAGCTTTAGGTCTCTTTATTTGATATTCCTCGCAAATGGCTTTATTTTGTGCTTTTAGCCTTGCAATATTTATTATTGAATCAAACTTGATATCAAATTTCATTCTGGTAGTATTATAGACCATTATAGGGACTAACTAACCCCCCATGMYCCYACTCTATGCATATATTGCAAAACACAGATCACTGCCTGGGACGTTTCACCCTGCCTGCAGGGTTTCATTGTTTTATAAACTATATGATCAGTTTGAACGTTTCGGAGGCAATCGTGTTAATAGAATAAGCGGAACTATCTGTCAAGATGCGGTTTTCCTGTGTAAACAAAGTTATGAGATATCATCGCTGATATATATAAATTTTTATGATAATCAATTAAATCAGAAATTATGGGAACCTAAGTTCATTTAGAATAATTTACCCTATTAATGGTTAACTGATGCCACCAGAAAACTCTTCACGCTCTTATACAAAGATTCGATGACTAAAAAGCTAAAATCATTAAGCTTATATGTGGCCGTGTGTACTATTAAAATGAATTGTAAAAAATATATATCGCGAGCATAACTAACTTTCTATATCATGATATCATATAAAAGCAATAAAGGACAAATTGCTGTGCATTTATCCTTGAAATAAAGCACATGGGGATCGATATGTTGCCACTCAAAAATGCTAGAATCACTCGCTGCATTCCTGATTTTTACGCTTTTTCTTGTTCTCACAACATCCGCGCGTGCTTCATTCAATTTTTCGCGTGCTTCATTTCATCAACTGTTTCAAAAATTACCATTTTTGCACTTCGAAAACTAGACAATCATCCACCCAGTCTTTTTCAGTTACCAGTAGTTATCAAAGTATTGTTACAAATATGGGTGGCTCTAAAAATAACCTGCGTGAGTTCCTGTYTGCCCGCGGTAAACGTTCCTCTAAGTTCATTTCATACATCTTTCTCGATCGCTTTATCGWTTGATTTTAATGCGATATCGGCACGAAGCATTGGGCTTTTGAACACTAAACTATCTACAAMGCGCGAATTGGTAGGCATGTTATTGTTCCAAAAATAACCTGCCCGCTTAACGCGATATCAACATCAAATAAACTTCGAGTTCCYAKTTCCTTGTTGATGCCAACTGACGCGATTGCTGYTATTWATTCTCATTATTATYATTTTTACTCTTTATTCTCAAGAATTAAAGAAAGAATATCAGAAAATAAAAAAACATCAGACGGCTCCGCAGTCTCTGCTCGAACAGAGTACAGTTAATTGAACGAAAAATAGTAGGTTTACCTTTCAGTCGTGTCTGAAATMTATCGACGAGCAGAAAGTCGTGTCTGTTACTAGTATTCGGGCGCTGTAAGACTAATACATCACTAATGTCATTTATCTCCATGCTTGTTAACAAGTGAATTTAGGAGAATATTGTTGGAAAGGTTCATTTGCTTTCACACGAAACTATAATGTACATGAAACATGCTATTACAACAAGCCATAAAAAAATAATGAATGAAGTTAAAAAATTTACAATCTTGCCGGGACAAAAAGAGTTGAGAATTATTTTTTTAATACCACTAAAAATAGCCATTTCTTCCCACCCCACTCCGGTCAAAGTTTGCAACATTGGGAAGTGGAGTAGAAAGACAACTCATTACTGAAACGATGATTTCCGTCGTGTTTTTAATCAAAATTTGCCTATTTTTTTCAACTCTTTTTTTCTTCCAAGATTGTAGCTTCTTCTAGCGTGGTATTGCCATTGGCCCGCGACAAAAAAATCAAATAGAGGAAAATCCATTAAAGAACAGCACGGTCAAGACACGAGTTTTGATGTAGTTTCCAGTGCACAGTCATGAATTAAATATGCTGTATTTGCTACGGAAAATAACGCTGAAGGAGGTTGAAAACATATTCTTCGTTTTCACTATACGTCACAGCGGCCATCTTGGAGGAACCTCAACAAAGGATTTCTCATTAGTATCTATTATTCATTCCTCCAACATGGCCGCCGTTCTTTTATCTTTTGAATCTCATGGGAATGGTTGAAAACGATCAATTCAAAGCTCTTTGCATGTTGTTGCTTGTTTACCTTTATTATTCATTTCTTATTCCCTTACGTTAATTTACATCATGTTAGGATTTTGTCTTTAAGATTTATCGTTTTTTTTCTGGGTTTCTTCCACGGTGTAGTGAGGTTCACAGGCTGCTAGTAAAC